AAAACCATTTTGGGGAAGCCAATCACAAAAGACTAGATATTGTATGAATTCATTTATATTAAATGATTAAAATAGGTATATAGAAAGTGGACTGGTGGTTGCCCAGGGATGGGGAGCACTGGGAAAAAATAGAAGATGTCTGCCAAAGGGTACAGGGTTACTTTTAGTGTGATTAAATGCCCTAAATTTGTCTGATCATGGGCACACAACTTTGTGAATATAAAAATCATGAAGTTACACCCTTTAAATGGGTGAATTACAAAGTATGTGAATCAAATGCCAACTACATTGTTACAAAAATTTTAAGAAAAGAAGACAGTCCCCAAAGAGAAGAAAACAAGAGGCTCTCCCAAAGCAGGCCATACCTGAGGAAATGGTAGACAAGCATTGTGTAAAGAGTTGTTTCCCACATGCTATTTTGACTTCATCACTTTAATCCCTTACTTCATATTTTTTAACACATTTCTAAATTATTTTAGGTTATCAGCAGATTTCTAACTTTGTCTCATTAGAGACCAAAGTCAGGGTTCCACCGACTGAGCTGGTAAAACAAAATAAAATGACAATAAAAATCCCATGACAAAATAATCTCATCCTTTGGGGCTGTGCACAACCTGGCAGAATGTAAGAGCTGAGGTTTATTTCCAATGGAAAAAATGCCATCAGCTATAAGGGCATCTTATGACTCTTGCCTAAAGCATATTTCCTTTTCGAACCTGCATACATTTATTCCCTTTACACCTATACAATTCAACAAAAAGTAATGTTTTTATAACTGTACAATTCAACAAAAGCAATGCTCTCTACCAAAAAATGCTGAGCTTCCTGCTCAAAGATCTAGCCAAATTTCCCTAAAGGTAAAATTTAAAATTTCTGAAAAAATCCAACTCTTTATCCATCTTCACCTTCAGCTCTATACAGTGAAGACTGAAAACTAAACTGGCTATAATTTCTTAAATGACTTTAATTTTCTAAAATATTTAATATATTAGTTTCAAATATTTAGAATATATTTGGCCCAATTTTTTTGAGTCTGCCCTTAGATTAATGAGAAGCTTCTTTTATTTTCACTTATTTAGTAAGAAATAACACAGTCTTTGAATAAGTTAAACTGGCTAATGACAGGTAATCAGTTTTCCTCAATGATTATGATTGTTCCATAGAGGGATGATAATGAAATCACAAATGGTGTTTTTGGTCTATCTTCAACTAATACTACAAGTTAGGAAACATTTTTACAGCTAAATGAGGAGAACACAAGCAGCATTACAGCAAGTTAAACTTGTTAAGTGCATTTGTTATGACGGAATTTCTGACGCAAAAATTGCTCACTGCACAAAGAACCTCAGAGAAGTGATGAAACAAGACAACTGATGTTAGAAGGTATATAGGAATGGGGTGGGGGGGAGAATCAAGGATAAATTAATATCAGGCAAGTATCTTGGGGAAAAAAGAGCCACTTTTGAGGGCACATAAGAAAAACTGAGAAGTCACTATTTTGGTCTCATTAGGGAAGTCCATTTGATAAGAACTGAAGACCTTTTTACTATATAATTCATGCTGCAAAATTCAGTAGTCACGCAGAATTTCCAAAAGGATTCCTAAAAACTGGTGCAAAAGAAATCTAAGAAAATAAATAAACATAAAAACCAACCTTTTTCAAGGAAATGTGTTCAAAACAGCGACTTTTACAAAAGATGCAAATTTGTTTTAAATGAAAATATATATGAAAGATTAAAGACTCATTTTGCAGATAACTTACACTCCATCTACGATTTTTTAACAGTGTACAAACAAGGGGTATAGATTTGTTTAATTAGGTCTGAAAGATCAATATAAATACTGATGGGGGTGGGAGTGTTTTATACCCCAAACTCCAAGATTCAGCTCTGTGTCCTGTCCTGCTATTATAATTTGTAAAAACCTTAGCGGCGCAGTGATTCGAGTTTTCGTAACTTCAATGATGTGTTAGAGGACAATGCCTCCTGGTTTGAAGAATTTGTTGTATCCGAAGGGGAATAGTTGTTGTATCCGAAGGCCGACCACGATGATTAAATACATAAAATGATGGGTGATTCCTTAAGGTATCAATTGTCTTATTTTTTAGTTCTGAAGTGGCATCCATGTCTTTAAACTCCCCTGCAATATGAACTATACCATAACAGGTAACTGCAAAGGCCAGAAGTGTCTGAAGAACTACATCTATTGGCAGTGATTCATCTTCTTTTTCTGTTAATCGCATATAAGAACCATCTCAGTGTAGATCTCGGTGGAACCATTGGTTATCGGTGATGAGTTCTGCTTCCTCACACGTTGACGTTTGAACATTAGTGAAGCATGTCAAGGCAAGCATATAAAGCAGGGCTTATTTGAAAAGGGGTAACATAGATTTCTCCCTAGAGGGAGAAGGGGGCCATATCTGGTATCCTGGTATCCCCTTATCATTCATTTTTATGTGGTGCGGAGGATCAATCCCAAAGCCTCACACCTGCGGAGGCAAGCACTCTGCCACTGAGCTACAGCCCCAGCACTTCTAGATCAATTTTTTTTTTTTTTTTTTTTTTGGTGCAGGAGTTTTCATTTTTTAATCTGTTGCTTTTTGTTATGTTGTGTTGTGTTTCAAGATGGGGTTTTGCTAACTTGCCCAGGCTGGCCTCAAATTCAAGATCCTCCCTCCTCATCATCCCAAGTAACTGTGACTTCAGATGCATACCACCACACCCGACTATCTGTCGCTTTAAAAATATTTTTTATTGTATTACTCAGCATTAAAAGAGAATAAATTATGGCATTTGCAGGTAAATGGATGGAGTTGGAGAATATATCATGCTAAGCGAAGTAAGCCTATCCTGAAAAATCAAAGGCCAAATGTTCTCTCTGATAAATGGATAGTGATCCATAAGGGAGGCAGTGGGAAGAATGGAGGAACTTTGATTGGGCAAAGGGGAGGGAGGGAAGAGGGGTCTGGGGGGCAGGAAAGATGGTGGAATGAGATGGACATCATTACCCTAAGTACATGTATGATTGCACATACCGTGTGACTCTACATTGTGTACAACCAGAGAAAGGAAAAGTTGTGCTGCGTTTGTGTACAATGAATCAAAATGCATTCTGCTGTCATATTTACCTAATTAGAATAAATAAATGGATTTTTAAAATATTTTTTATTAAGATATAATTCATATACCATAAATCTTACCCATTTATCCTTGTGTGGTGGCCCATGCCTATAATACTAGCTACTCTTAAGGCTGAGGCAGGAAGATCACAAATTGGAGGCCAACCTGGGCAGCTTAGTGAGAACCTATCTTAAAATTTAAAATTTAGAAAAAAAGTGGGGGCATCTGGGGATGTAGCTCAGTGGTAGAGCACTTCCCTGGTGTGCGTAAAGCCCCAGGTTCAAACTCCAGTACAAAAACAAACAAAACGCTCACACGTTTACTATGAACAATTGAATAGATTTTGGTATATTCACAGAATTCTGCAACCAGCACCACAATCTAATTTTAGAAAATTTTTTTTTAATATTTATTTTTCATTTTTCGGCGGACACAACATCTTTGTTTGTATGTGGTGCTGAGGATCGAACCCGGGCCTCACGCATGCCAGGCAAGCGCGCTACCGCTTGAGCCACATCCCCAGCCCAATTTTAGAAATTTTTATCACCCCCTCCTAAAGCCCATATTCTTCATAGGTCAACCAGAATCTTTTGCCTGGGTTTCTGTAACAGCCCCCAATAGGTCATTAGCTGATCTAAAAATACCCATCCTAGGTCAAACATCTTTAATAGCATTTTATTCCACTGTTGTCCTGATTAAGTACAAAATCTTTAAGGTGACTCCAGTGCCTTTTGGAATCTGACCCCTTTTAAAATTCAAGGATAAACAGTATTTTAGAATCAGGACTCTTTTTTTTGCCAGGGAGGGGGCAGGTATCAGGGATTGAACTCAGGGGCACTTGACCATTGAACAACATCCCTAGCCCTATTTTGTATTTTATTTAGAGACAGGGTCTCACTGAGTTGTTTAGCACCTCACTTACTGCTGAGGCTGACTTTGAACTGGCGATCCTCCTGGCTCAGCCTCCCAAGCCACTGGGATTACAGGTATGCACCATCTGGTCTGGACAGAATCAGGACTCCTGATCTGGGAACAAAAATGGACTTCAGGAAATCAATAAACCCCATGAAAGTGCATGCAAAAGTTGATAATTGCATAGGGGCTGGGGTTGTGGCTCAGTGGTAGAGCACTTGCCTAGTTTGTGTGAGGCACTGGGTTCAATTCTCAGCACCACATATAACTAAATGGATAAAAAAAGGGTCCATCAATATCTAAAAATATATATTTTTTAAAAAAAGGTTGATATGTGCATAGACTTGCCCCCTGGAAAGATGATAAATTAGATTATCTAAGGTTCAGAATATCTAGAACAAATTAAGTTTATATAGTTTTCCTTATTATTATACACTTTTGCATTATTTTAATTTTTACCATACACATAGAATAGAAAACACAATAATACTTTGCAGGTATCAGGTTTCTGAAGGTCATTCTGCCCCAGGGATGGAGTGGAGATCCAGTGGGGAGAGGAAGCACAGGTCAAGAAATTCTTATTTGCAAGAAGAATGTCTACATTGATCCCAGTTAGTTAAACTAAGGATATGTTGAGGTGGTAATAGATGAGAAAAGAACTAGGAAGAGCCAAGGAAAGGGGAGAGAGAAGCCTGTGAAGGGAGGTTCAGAATGTCAATCTTGTCAATTCCACAGTGAGATTAGAAATGAGAAGGGGGGGGTCTCTGGTCCTTTTTTCCTGGGCCACTTGCTGGAGGTAGAGAGGCACTTTTTCTTGTTTATATTTGAAGCCTCAGTGCTTGGTCCACAATAGACATATAACTGGGAACAAGAACTAAATTAATTAGTGAATAAAGAATAAATATTTCTAGCTCTTTGTGGTGGCTGCATGAGGGCAGAGCCAGAGCCAGAGCTGCGTCGGCGAGAATCATGGCCGGACAAGCATTTAGAAAGTTTCTTCCACTTTTTGACCAAGTATTGGTCGAAAGGAGTGCAGGGGAAACTGTAACCAAAGGAAGCATTATGCTTCCAGAAAAAATTCAAGGAAAAGTATTGCAAGGTACAGTAGTAGCTGCAGGATGGGGCTCTAAAGGAAAGGGTGGAGAGATTCAGCCAGTCAGTGTGAAAGTTGGAGGCATCAAAGTAGTTCTAGATGACAAGGATTATTTCTTATTCAGAGATAGTGACATTCTTGGAAAATATGTATACTGAAACAAATCATTGTTGAAATGGCATCCTATGAAGCTGCCTAGTCCACTGAAGATCTGAAATCTTTCATCATGTAAATAATTTCCATGTGTCTTTTATAATAAACTGATGATAACCTAATAACATCCACTGTCTCAAAAATTTAGTTTCTCTGTACTGTGTAAATATTTCCAAATAAAATATGTAATGAATGGTTAAAAAATCAATAAACCCCATGAAAGTGCATGAAAAAAAGTGCATCTAATACGGTCTCACAGCTTTTTTCTTTGTTTGTTTCTGTGCCTGTTTTATTCATTTCTCTTACAACTTGTGCTCAGCATTTGTTGAATTCTCCTTAGTTGCATAGTTAAACAGAGGTTAGGGTTAGCACTTAGAAACACAAGTCCTTACTCCTAATTCAGTTTTCTTGTCCCTAACACCACATTGCCTCTTTTTATTTTATTTTTATTTTTAGTTGTAGATGGATACACTACCTTTATTTTATTTATTCATTTTTATGTGGTGCTGAGGGTTGAACCCAGTGCCTCATATGTGCAAGGCAAGTGCTCCACCACTGAGCTACAGCCTCAGCCCCACCACATTGCCTCTTTAATGTTATGCAAACAAAAAATCTTATAACATGCCCCTCCTTTGCATGCTTCATCTCTGGACTCACAAACTACATTTCTTTTATAATATTTGGTTCCATTTCATTTTAGCCACACTTCTTATGGGCAAGTTCCATATTATTGTCCAGTGATGAGTTTCAAATATTCAAGCCCATCATCCTTGTATTTTAGCTGACAATAGCTCTTTTATTTAAAATAGCACAAAGAATGTTTATGTTCCAATCCACCACAGTACTTAATCTGTTAACAGATGCCATCTGAAGAAGTCGGTGTATTTACTAACATATTACTTTGCCTTTATCTTCTAATTGAATAAAACAAGTTTTATTAAAACTGAAATTCTCAGAGAAAATAGTTAATTAATTTTGCCCAAATTTCAAACAATATTAACACTTATTAAAATTTATTTTAAATTTGATTTATGGCTCTTGCCAGACTGATAATTTTTCAAAACAGTGACACATCTTAATGTATCTTGGAAAGTATGTATACTGAAACAAATCACTGTTGAAATGGCATGAATTTCAAGGGAAGTTGAGCATTTGTTACTATTGTACATAGAAGTCACAATATACATAGAAGTCACAGAAAACTGAATGGGAAAATGGCTCAGTTTGAAATAAGTGCCTCACTCGATGATTATTACAGCATTCACAGTAGGAATATTAGTTATTAGTGGATAATTAGAGTTTTCAGATGCAAGGAAAATAACACCACCTCCAGCTTTCTTGTTTCTTTCCTTCCTTCTTGCTTTCTTTCTTTCTTCACTTTCCTTTCTTTCTTTTGCAGTACTGGGGATTGAACTCAAAGGCACTTTACAACTAAGATAAACCTCCAGCACCCCCTTTAAAAAAATTTTTATTTGAGAAAAGGTCATGCTGTGTTTCCCAGTCTGACCTTGAACTTGAAATTCTCCTGCTTCAGCCTCCAGAGTAGCTGGGACTCTAGGCATGTACTGACAGAACTCTGGCTCTTTCAAAAGCAGAAACATTGTTTTTGGATAGCAAACTGGGAGCTTGTGGATTTATTGGGAGTTTGGTCAATCTGAATTAAAAGCCCCATCGCCATTAGAATTACCTATCATCATGAACTTGTTCTATGAGGACACCACTACCATCTCCCCCCTGCACAGCTGTCCCCTTCACCCTGGGGTAAGGGTGTCTCTGTTGTTTTATAAATGGGAGGCTCCCTCCATTGCCCCATGAGTCTTTGATTGAGCTGTGACCACATGCATGCATCTCAGATGCAAAACCCACTGGAAAAAGAAGAGTCTCATTTTCAGCCACACTTTCAGAGGGAGCTAAGTTCTGTTCGCCACTTAGAGTTATGTGATGGAGGATCCCCCAAATGTAGGAAGGGATGGAGATGTTCAGTATAAAAATATGCAAGTATGCACAATACTTCCTCAAGAGCCACAAGTTTGGGAGGTTGGCATAAACGCTTTCTTTTCACACACACCCACAGTCTGTCCATTAATACATATGTCAGTTTCACCTTAAAAAATATATCCAGCTCCACCACTACCACCCTAGATCAAGTATTCCTATCTCTTGCCTGGTTATTGAATCAGCTTCCTAAGCAGTCAGCTACCTTCTGCATTTGGCCCCTTACAGTCTGGGCCCCTTATAGTCTGCTTTCAACACACAAAAAAGGAGGAGTTCTCCTCCACCCCACCCCTATGGTATGGGGGATTGAACTCAGGGGTGCTCTACCACTAAGCTATATCCCAAGTACTTTTTATTTTTTTATTTTGAGACACGGTCTCATGAAGTTGCCCAGGCTGGTCTTGAACTTTTGATCCTCCTGCTTCAGTATCCCAAGTAGCCAGGATTACAGAAGTCCATCACGGCACCTGACTCAGAGGAGTTCTTTTTGAAAATATTTCATGACATATCACACATCTGCTCTAAGTCCTCCAATCCTTCCCATTTCATTCAGGGTCATCACCATGATCTTCCTTTTCCATTATTCCTCCTCTCCTCAACTGATCTCCATCTGATCTCGACCAATACTACTATTATTTTCATGACACCAAACATGCTCGGAACTCAGGATCTTTGTAGTTTTCACCTCTGCTGGGAGAACAAGTCTCCTAGATCATTACACAACTTGTTCCTTCACAGGCAGGCATGACGTGCACACCTGCAATCAATCCTGGTGATATGGGAGGCTGAAGCAGGAGAATTGCAAGCTCAAGGCCAGCCTCAGAAACTTAGAGAGGCCCTAATCAACTTGGTGAGACTCTGCCTCAAAATAAAAAATAAAAAGAGCTGGGGATGTGGCTCAGTGGTAAAGCATGCCTGGATTCATAAACAAAACAAAAATCCTGTTCCTTCACTTCCTTCAGCTCTCTGCTGAAATTCACCTTATTGGAGAGAACTTCTCTGACTCAATATTTGTTTATTTATTTATTTATTTATTTATTAGTACTGGGAACTGAACCCAGAGTCACTTTTCTCCTGTGTTACAACCCCAGCCATTTTTAGGTTTTTATTTTGAGACAAGGTCTCACTCAATTGTTTAGGCTGGCTTTGAACTCTGATCCTCCTGTCTCAGTTTCCCAAGTTGCTGGGATTACAGTTATGAGCCACTATGCCCAGCATCTGACCCTATATAAAACTGTGACCCTCCAGAACTTATCACTCTCCACCCTTTATTTTTCTCCATAATATATTGCTCACTATTTGACATTCTGTGTATTTAACTGTTAAATTGTTTGTCTCACCCTATAGAATGTGAGCACCATGAAGACAGGGATTTGATTTGTATCCTCAATTTCTTCTTAGAAGTTTGCTGAATGAATAGATGGTGACAGACTTTTTATAACTGTCCCTTTACCGTTTAAATAAAGTATAAAGTGTGTATAACACAGTGTCCCTTCTTTACACCAGTGCTAGAGTTTTACTTTTAGAACAGATGTTGTTAGGCTACTCATTCATATAATTTTCTTATAGTTTCTGACTGCCAATAGCCATGTTTCTCAATTTGGGGCATGAGCAGGTAACTAAGTCACAGGATAGAACATTTCAGAGAGTTCTAGTCCAGAGGGCCAATTTTACTTTTAGGATTTGTGGTGAAGGGAGAAGTTTCCCATTTTGTTATTTCTCTTCAAAAGTTTCACCACATGTATATGTGCATGCAAACAAGATCAGCAGAATCATGCTTTACCATTTAGTTCAGATGGGTGAAAACCCAGGGAGGGTTAGGAGACTGGTCTAATAGTGCTGTAACTGAAACAGAATTCACAGGCTAATTATGAACACTATGAAAATATCAAGGAGTATGGGATCTGATAATGAGCTTGATGTGGAAACAAAGAGCAGCTTTCCAGCCACAGCTAAGTGTTTGCAATGCCAGTAGTGACACCAGTCAATTTAAAAACCTTATGATGTATACTCAATCCTTTATTAAACCATAGGTTTTACTACTGTGGAAATGCAATTGATCACAGTCCCAGGTGTCTCATATTTGAGAACACTGTTAAGCAAAAAGAGAAGGAAATTATCAGTTGTGTTAGTTTTCTGTTGTTTGTGACAAAATGGCCAAGGAACCCAATTTAAAGGAGAAAAGATTTATTTTGGCTCATGTTTCAGAAGTTTCAGCCCATGGTCTCTTGACCCTATTGCTTTTGGACCTGTGGTGATGCAGTGAACATGTGTGGTGGAGGAAAACTGCTCACCTCATGGCAGCCAGGAAGCAAAGAGAAAGAGTGTGAGGAAAGGGCTGGGGTCCAAGGATCTACTTTAAGGACTTACCCCCAATAACCTAACTTCCTTCCTCTAGTCACCACCTCCTACAGGTTCCAACACCTCCTAATAGTTGATCAACTGTGAACCAAACATTTAACATATGAGCCTTTGAGGGACATGTAAGACATAAAATATATCCAGGCCAGGTGGCACACAATTTTAATCCTAGCAACTCAGGAAGCTGAGGCAGAGGGATGCAAAGTTCAAGGCCAGCCTCAGCAACTTAGGAAGGACCTAAGTAACTTAGCAAGATGCTATCTCACAATAAAAAATAAAAAGGGCTGGGGGTGTAGCTCAGTGGTAGGATATCTCTGGGTTCAATCCCATTGTGAAAACAAACAAAAAGATCTAAGGAAAAGATACAAACCATAACAGTATTCAAGAAGCACTTAAAAACCAACTGCATAACACTTCTAAAGAAGAATAAGTTGAGGTAGTTTGTTTCTTTGCATGTTAAAGCATAATAGAGCTAGACTAGCTAATGTGGTATAAAATTATCAGGAAGGGAAAAATAAAAACAAAACCAAAAACCAGTGGAACAACTAGAAAGCCCAGGAACAGAGAAATATGCACTTATGGTAACTTAGTATGTGATACAATTTACATTAGGATATAGCAGGGAGAAGATGGACTGACTATTCAATAA